TCTTTGACACTGCAACGTTGAACAGTATTAACGACACGATCACGAATTGGTGCAGAAGGTAATGTCAAATAATACAACCCCCCCTATCCGTTTACCATGCCCAATCACCTCGTGAGTCTTGAGATCCTGAAAAGAGCAATGGGTAGGATAGAAAGTAGCAGAAGCATTAAGTGTATCAAGTAAGCGACCAACAGATAACAAGTTACAATGGATATTGGGAACTAATAACGCACGAGACAAGGACAGAGTTGGGGTGAGAGAAATGGTGCCCTCGCCAGTAATTGGAGAGGGCAAACCATTAGCACTAGTTATATATGGGTCACGGGTGTTACTAGACAACTCATAAAAAAAATTTGGCATTATAAGTCATATGATCAGAAGCACCAGTGTCAATTATCCAAGTATTAGAGCTAGTACCTGGAATAGAGTCAGAAACACGCAAATTTGCAGAAGCAGCAGCAGCACCAACAATGGAATTATCACTCATAATTGTAGCAGAAACTCAACAAATCACGCAGGGTATACAACAGATCACAGCACACACAAATATGGCAGATGCACGAAGACAACAGAGGCACAAACACAGTAGAGGCAGATGCACGAACACAGTAGAGGCACAAACACAACAGAGCACACAGCGGAACACGGCAAAGGCACAGACACAAGAACCCTAAAAGAAATTAGGGCACACAGTAGAACACGGGTGGGCACAACACACACAGGTCACCAGAAAGTCGGCTCTGATACCAAGTCAAACAATATGGGTAGAATATTTTCATATATATTTCATTCTCCGAAAGGAGGTATTTATAATACAGGTTACAAACCCTAGTAGGGTTTAATTTGGAAATAAGTGGAATCCTAATTACATAATATCTATACAAAAGGAAAAATAAATAAAACCCAAATAGAATAGGATATATTCTACTCGCCAACACTTAGTGGCTTCTTGACACAAAGTGAGTAGCCTTCTTTCAATCGGTTTCGTTAAATTAATTAACTAAAATTTCTTGCTTGAAGTGATACAATTAATTGCAATTTACAAGAGAGAGAGAGATGAATTGTGGGGGAAGTAAGAAACCACTATGGGAGCTCCTGACGACGATGAAGACGATGATGATTTTGATTTGTCTTTTTTGGAGTCCTTTGAAGAAGGCTCTTTGTTGGAGCTGCCTCCTACTACATCATCAGAGACCTGCTGTGACGATGAGCAAGGAAAGAAGCAATTGAGAAAACCTGAGAAAATGGCCATTCTAACAGCAAAGTAGAAATGGATGGATGGGGCTGCAAAATGGTAGTAACAAAAATCAGAGAGGGAAATAGGATAAGATATATGAATGTATGTGATTAATTAGAATGGTCGTTGAAAATTTATAGTGGGATAGAAATGTGACGTTTCTTTGATTATCTTGCTGGGAAAGCAAGATTTTGAAGGTTCTGTCCACTTGTTACTACTTGCTAGGCTGCTAATCTATGACCATCGGCAAAGTTTCAAATGAAAGCTACTCTTGTGCCAGCTAGAAACAGGATCCAAAGTCTCACATGACTTAGTACACCTTATCAATTGTGGTTAGAGACCAATTCCTTTCTCATCAATTCTGTGAACCTCCAAGAACCCAGTCAATCAAAAGAAAACATGTGATATGACTTTCCATTAAGGTCCTAATTCTGCCCACGTTATCAATTTAATGGTGGTTTTTTCCTTCCTTTTTTTTTGGGGTCAGGTTCTTCCTTCCTTTGAGGAAATATCGACAAAATGTTGATATCGGTAAAAATTGAATAAAAATGACGGAAATTGTTAGAAAAATATGGAAATTTTCAATAAAACTTTAGAAGATGTTCATTTAGTCAATTATCTATTGTTTTGACACACAAAAATTGAAGAAAATACATTGTATAATGGGTTTAAGTGATTTAAGTTGAGTACAGTGCCATGGTAAAATCAAATACGAATAATGTGAGCCCATGAATAGAACTTGCGCCTACAAAAGCATGAGCTTACCTAAAAATGTTCTATTTGGTAAAGGGGTTCATTTTTTTTTTCTTCCTAATACAAGCGATACTCTAAACTACAGAGGAGGGAGATTTCTCACACACACACACAACTATGACGCCGACGCAGCACAAGCAAATAGGTTATAAGAGTAACCTAGGAAAGATCATAAACTTAGAATTCACCAGAAAGTTAAGAGAGAATTCTCATTGTTTGTATTATTTGATAAAAGATGAGTTGAGACCAACCATACACGAAAGCTGTCTAAATACATCAATCTCACCCATTGGACTGCCCTGGGGAGTTATTGAAAGGTAAACAGAAAATAAACGAAAAGTCGAAAATTAACTACAGCTTTTAAATGCTCTTTTGAAAGCCCAAACGACCTCAAAAGCCCAAAATCCACCTTATGCCACAGCGAAGCGGTGAGTTTGACTCGTTGCGTCGTTCCTTTTTCGAAAAGGTAACATGCGTCCCAATCGGAGCTTGGACGCCAAATATGTAAATTCCTACTGCGTCCTTTTTCCATTCATCGCTCCAAGTCTTCTTCAATCCATTCAGCCATTTGTTCTACATCAGATGCCATGGGGATTCAAACCTGAAACCTCAGCAAATCAAGGTCCTTTTCACTCGGCTAGACCCCGTTGGCATAAAGGGGATCATTTAAAAAAAACCTGGAATATGCATATTTTGGCAACCTCTTCAAAAACAAGAGGATAAATTTGGCTGGGTTAGATGGCATCCAGATATAGCTATGTTAAAGGTTAAGATCAAGATTATTAAACTCAGTATGTGTGCATATAAAGGCAGAGATGTGGTAAAACAGTTGTCATGTAAAAGTGAAGGGGGCAAATAGTCACGCTAATGTGAGATCACTTGACATTTTCTCTCAACCTGAACAAGGAGCCTCAAAACCCTTTCTGAACCTTTCAAAAATTCATCATTTTATTCAAGCAGAAAATTCTGAAAAGCAATCCAAAGGGTATCCTGTTACAAGTAGTTGGTCCTGCAAAGAAGACCAAAATAAAGTACTTGACGGCTCAGAAATGTTCCTTTTGTATAGTCCTGCCTGCTTCAAGTAGTCGCTCCTGCAAATGAAAAATGCATACTAGGGAAAATCAGCAACAATACATATACTTACACGCGCGCACAAACATATCCACAAACTTGAAAACATATGATCTTGAAGCTCAGTTACACACTTTATAACAAAAGATAGGTGGTATTCCCGTTTAAGCCAGCAACATAAACCCATTTCTTTTTTTGGTCGAACATAAACCCATTCTCATCTTTCATTTTTGGTATTCCCATTTTAATTAAAAAACCACAGAAATTTAAGACAAATTGTGACTAAGCTATTGAGTTTCCATGGCGTTTAAGCTAGAAATATATCTCATTCCCATTCTTGTCTCCATCTTCAGGCAACTTTGTCTAATTGTACAGTGGCAGCCGTTTTTTGGGTGATTTGGTTGGAGAGAAATAGAAAACTTTGTTAGAATTATAGTGCCAATGAAGAAAGCTTCTGGGAGACAGTCAGGTTCCGGAGATTTTATTGATTGACATGGCATGTCTGGAGAATGAATATAGACAATTAAATTTGTTTTTAGAGTAGTGAAAATTTGTCCAGATAAGATGCGAACCATACCGCGAAGGTTTTACCATTACGACCACAATTCGAACAAGTAGTATGCATCTAAATGGGCCAGTTTGCATGAAAGTCTGGATATGCAGAAAATCAGAGTTAACAAGGGCAGATGATGTGATATTCTTAGTGATCAAATAACTGATAAGGTTTCTGTTCCAAGAAAAACTGACCATACCAGACCCTTTACAGCGCTTACATGATTCAGGTCTGGTGCCAGGAGGAACACCACTACCACCTGCAAAGATCCAAAAGCACAAGAAATTAGAAAAGAGAGTTTCCTTCCAATACTAATGAGCCAAAAACAACTAAATACTAGACAAATTTCAAAAGTAGCAAAGACATTTAGAAGTGAGTAGAATCAGTATACCCTTCACAGGCCACTGCACAGTTTTAGCACATCCCTGGACAGCTTCCATAAAGGATGGTTCCAATGAAACCTGTGTATTAATGAAGATGGATAAAACCTTTGATATCTTGACCACCAAATTCTGACGGAAAATGATGATCTAATTTCCATTGGAAACAACGCCCACCAATAACATGCACATACCACCCAAAGTGAATATAACATCCCCAAAAAGAAAAAAAAATGCAAGAGACAATAATTAGGAAACATAGATGGTACTTCACCTTGCTGTAGAACCTTAATTTTAGAATAAAGTCATTACATCATTATCAAAGATATCTTTAAACAGATTCCTGAAATCATTGGGAGAGCCATTGCCTTGATCTTCAAATGCAGAATGGCCAACCTACAAAAGTGTGCTTAATGACATAAGTGCAGACATAAATAAACAGAAGTGAATTAGACAAGGAATACGTAACAGTATAGTACAACAAGAGTCCTTCAGTTGAGATGATCATGAAGCTAAAAGGTTTACTTGCCATCAAATGGATTTCTAAAGACTTAAAACATTATCGTTTATAAAATGCCTCTGACCTTCACAATGAACAATATCCACCAATTCATCTTAATTTCTTCTCAGTGTGGAACATGTCGAACTATAACCCATTTTCAGTTTTCTAGGTTATAAGAGAATTTCTATGTTTACTGAGAAGCACTTTTCATTTGGATGGGGGTGAGAAGGAAAAACTTTGTGGAATTGCTGTGTGATTACTAATGTTTGGTAGCATGGATGAACAAAACATAAAGGGGAATGGGAATGGGAAGGGATTTAGTGTAGTGGGCTTCACTGTCATTGGAATTTAGGAATGTATGTTTCGTCTTATTCTATGCCCACAGTTGGAGGTCTTCTAAGATTGCTAGTGTTAGTTGAGCTGTTTTGTATTCTAACTGTGACTTTTTGGATTTGGTTTTGGAGGCTATGGGACTGAAGACCACATAAAACTCTGCATCAATATCAACTCTTGAGGAATGCATACCATGTATATAGCATTTCAGGACTTGGTTCCAACTGAAGAATTGAACTAGCCACATTACATTATTGATTAGAAGGCATGTTATACCAGGATGGGTATTTCCTCTTTTCTTCGTTCAGCCCATCTATCATATGTTCTTTTTTATGTACAGTTCCTTCAATAGCCTCTGAGCATCAGCCTTCTTTCCTGGTCTAGCAAAGGTAGAACTGATGCATCGAAGGGTACTTTCACATGGAACATACCCTTTCTCATTCATATCAGTTAATAATCTTTTTGCCTCATCCCGATATGACCTTTTCAAATTCCTTTCCAGCTCTGGATGCTTTGATAGCTTACACCAGCCACAGATTAGTATGTTGTAAGTTGAAGAGTTAGGAGAGGTCCCTCTTGTCTGCATCTCATTCATAAGCTCCCTAGCTGGGCTCATCTTTCCCACTTTAGCAAAATCACTAATAAGAACATTATAGGTGCTAGTTCTGGGAACAAAACCTGTCCTTACCATTTCACAATAAAGTCTTATAGCTTCCTTTTTATTTCCAATCTTACCATGGCCAGAAACCAAAATATCATATGTAGAAGCATTAGGAACAAAGCCTCTATTCTTCAATTCACCAAATAACTCTTCTGCCTTTGTCATCAGACCAGCACCTGAAAGTCCCCCTAAGAGAAAATTGTACGTTTCAATACTTGGAGAAACTCCCACAGCCAACATTTGCGAGTATGTAGCAAAAGCCCTTTTCAGATGGCTGCTTATGCAATATCCACATACAAGGGCATTGTAAGTATCAGTATCTGCTAGAAATCCTCCTCCAGTCATCTCTTTCAGTACTGAAGTAGCTTTCCTGGTCATTCCTAGCCTGCATAAGATAGTGATGAGATTGTTATAAACATCACGAGTGAGGTTAAGCCCCATACTTACAAGCTTATGATGCATCTGCAAAATTGTATCAGCTCTCCCACTCTTTGAAGCAGCATTAAGAAAAATTCTATGAGTAAATGAGGTAAGGAGAAAACCAACAGCCAGCATTCCATCTAAGACATCTAGTGCTTTTTCAATCTCATTTTTATCACAGAGTCCTCTTAACAGAATGTCACAAGTTATTGAGTTCGAAATTAACCCTTGACACTTCATCTCATGCCAGAGTTTAAAAGCATTTTCAGTGTCACCCTCTCTGCAGAATGCATTAATCATGGTATTGTATGTGGCACAGTCAGGAGCCAAACCCAACTCTTTCATTCCAATACAGACAGATTTTGCTTCATATTTCCCAAGCTTCAACAGACCATTCATTAAGACATTGTATGCAACAACATCAAACCCTATATTTTTCTCCATCATCTCTTGGGCCAAGTTAAGAGCATTTGACTCCTTTCGCGCTTTAAAGTACCCATCCATTAGAGATGTGTAGTTAACACGATCAAGAGACAAACCACCAGAAGTCATATCCATAATTAATCCTTCAGCTTCTTCCATCCTTCTGCACTTTTTCTTGTTGTTCACAAAAGTATCAAGTATGAAATTGTTTTCCTCCAATCCTCCCATTTTCATTTCCTTGTAAAGATCAAGAGCAAATTCTTGTTTACCTGCCTTAATGCACCCATCAATTAGTGCTGCATACACAAAAGCATTTGGCAGGATATTTTTTTGCACCATCGTCCTCAATAAATTCATAGCCTCACCAACCTTTCCTTTCTTCATGAAGCCATTTATGATTGCAGAATAAGTAACAATATTCGGGAGAACATGTTTCTCTTCCATTTCTTTAAGTACTGATTCTGCACTATTCATGTCCCCTAAGTTGCAAAGCCCACTTATCAATGCAGAGTAGGTGATAGAATTTGGAACTAGGCTAAGCTTTGAAATTGTTCGAAAAAAAGTCTTAGCCTCATCAGCTTTCCCAACCTTAAAGAGTCCAACCACTAAAGCAGTACAGATTACTATATCAAAAACAAGGCCACGAGCAACCATTTGGCTTTGAAGGGTAAGAGCTTCCATGGAAGAGCCTGCCTTAAACAAGGAATCGACAAGGGTAGTATAGGAGACATGATTAGGATCCACACCCATTTTCTCCATCTCCCTTAAAAGCACTTTGGCTTCTGATAACCTCCCATGCTTGCAAAGACCATTTATAATGGAGCTATAAATTACTACATCAGGATAAATGCCATTCATAACCATTTCCTCATACAAAGACAGGGCCTCTTCAAGTCCTTGCTGCTTACAGTAAGAACTAATGAGTGTGGTGTGTGTTATAAGGTTTGGTTTCAAAGGGTTACCGTCAGTCTGATTCTGGTCATCGTCTCTTTCATCATGAGGGCTATCTTCATATCTCCGAGATCTCAACATCTCATCTATAAGACTCTTGGCCCTTACAAAATCACCCATGCTGCAAGACCCATGAATGAGAGTATTATAAGTAACAATATCCGGGAACAGACTCTCACTCCCCATTCTCTCCATCAACTCAAGTGCACGACTAATTTGTCCAGCTTTCCAATGTCCAGCAATCAAGGTGTTGAAACCTACAACATCCTTAGGAATTCCACCATCAACCAAATTATCCATAACCCATTCTGCATAATCTACCGACCCAATTTGACAAAACCCATTAACCAGTGTATTGCAAGTATAAGAATCGATTGAAATAGCCCTCCTCACCATTTGAGACAAAAACCCAAAAGCCTGATAAGCCAATCCTTGTTTAGAGAAACCCCAAATGACAGTATTATAGGAAACAGTATCAATTTGACCATTTCTCAAGAAATCTAGAGCCGAACTCAAATTTCCCACTTTGCAGAATGAATGAATCAAAATGTTGCGGGTGAAAACATTGGGCAAAACCCGACAAGTGAGCATCTCAGAGTAAAGAAGAGGTACCTGAGAAACAAAACCCGAGGCATTGAATTGGTAAAGAAGCCGATTCCAAAGCGGCAAAACAGGAACAAGGCCGTGATTTCGCATAGAAAAGAAGGCATCAGAAGCGCTGAGAAATCTGCCACATGCCAAGTAAAGGTGTATGAGGGTGCAGAAGAATGATGAGTAGAGGTGGGTCTTGGATGGTGGGATGGCAAAATTGTAGCTTTGGAGATGAGAAGGAGCGAAGATAGGTGGGTTTTGATTGGTCGGGCGGAGTTTGGTTGATGAGAAACTCAAAGATAGAGAGAGGAAAGGGGTGCTCTTCGCTTGCTTCTTCAAAAGCAGCATCTGTGATACTGCTAGTTCCTCGCTTACTCTTCTCTTCTGTTTATCTGAACAATTGAACTTGTAATTCAGAAATGCCAAACAAACATGTTTTTTTTGCTGTGAAGTAGACAGAGTACTAGTACACTACCACTAACCAAAGCATAAACATTGCTACTGTATGAATAAGTCCTATTTTTTTCTTTTTCCGTGAAATAATTAAAAACAAAAATAATAACACTACATATATTTATGTTCGAATGTCCCTCTCTTTGGCTTTTCTCATTTTTATTTTTATACAGGTAATATTAGGGAAAGTAAAGTTGAATCATGACTTTTTTTTATATAAATATAAACGATATTGGAGAAGGAGAAGTCGAACCTAGATATATAGATAAATACATTTAACCACCTGAAAAAGGATTTACATTCAAAACAGGATAGGGTAGGTTATAATTGTTTTTAAGAAAAAGAAAAGAAAATGTTTTTTTTTACTTATATAAGCCGTATTAAGGAATGAGATTTCTCACATACATTGTGTCCTAAGGGTTCGAATTTGAAACCACCTATTTGCATGACAATGCCCCTCTCCACTAAGGTTAGGTGAGTGTTTTTGTGAATGGTTTTTATCGGGTGATGTATTTGTCCAACAAAACAGGGTAGGGGAGCTAGAAAGCAGAGTTTACCTCTGACTCCACCTTAAGCTATGTTCTCCTATAAATACGTCGTTAGCTTAGCATCTTCCTCGTACAGACGAGAACAGAGCAGCAAAATTATCTTCGTTCCTTAACTTTCCCTTGGAAAAGCTGAAACTGAAAAATGCCTCTCAAGCTGCTGGACGCCACCATCTCCACCTTTGACAGTGTGTTCGAGAAATTCAGAGCAGAAGCCCCAAAGAACAAAGCCAATCTCATCGTCTTCTTGGCTGACAAAGACCCTTCTACCTCGCTCAGCTGGTGCCCTGGTAATTATTTAATTTACTTCATAAATGAATTTTCTTTTCAGTTTTGTGTGTTTATTTTATGCGATAAAATTACAAGTGCCCGTGATAGAGTTCTTGTGAAATTTTTCGATACTATTGTCATTTCTTTTCACATCAGAAAATCAAGGTCTAGAAATTTTATCAACAGGCTGAGAAAATTGATCTGGACTCTCAGAGGTTCACATTCAAAATCCCATAATTTTAAATCACTAAGAAATCACCCTGTTGGTGTCTTCAGATGTGTAAATAGTGCCCCCAGCTTCACCTTTTTAAAGAATTTAGTGATCATTGACTTCTTCCAGTTCACTGTCAGATTGACACTGAGAGACTGAGAGTAAGATGCATTGCAGCATAGGGTCTGCTCTGCTCACTTTGTATACAATTATAAATTCCAAATTCTACATAAACCTTCTCATGAATTTTCCGATACCTTTCTTTGATTCAAAATCTTAAATTCTTGCTAGGAAGAGTTTTGGTTGAAAGTTGCCCTTTAGACATCTTCTTTCTCACCATGGACCCCAAGTGTATGTTTAAAAAAAAAAGGAAATTTCTGTCATCCTGTGAGGGCATTTCCATCGATTTAGGAGGAGCTTGTGTTCTAAGGGGGGCTCTGGATGAAAATAGATGTTCCGTACATGTTAGATATAGAAGAAGAAAACAAAAGGCAAGTTGCTTTCTTGACTGTTAGTTTAAGAATAGCTTCAATGTGAAAATGGATTCTTGGAACAAGTTAGCAAAGTCTTCGTCTAAAATCTTGTGTGATGATTGCTCCTAGAGGAAAGTAGTTTCTTGCAAACATGTCCTGATCATCCATGGTTAGAAGGAAGGAAGGCTGTCAAAATGTCAGACCTGTATCAGATCTCTTCAAATTTCCTGGTGGTAGTTTGCATATCTTTGAATCAGCACAGATTGACAAAAATGGATCATGATCCCGATCCTATTGAAACTTGGGGTGGTGGTGCATCCTCAGAAATGTTGAATCAGAAACACTGATTTGCTATGTCGCCGAGTAAAACAACCCTTAAATTAAAGGAACTAGTTTCGTGCTTCTCCTACTAAAAACTGCATTAAGAACTACTTGGCAGGAGGATTCTCCCATTTATTGAGAGTTTTTTTAAAACGGAAATGAAGTGTGAAATCGTGTATGGCACTGATTTTCCCTTCTCTGTTCCAGATTGTGTGAGAGCAGAACCTGTAATCTACAAAAAGCTGGAAGCTACAGCTGATGATGTTGCACTTCTGAGAGCATATGTCGGAGATAGACCAACATGGAGGAATCCGGTGCACCCATGGAGAGTAGACTCGAGGTTTAAGCTGACTGGAGTTCCAACACTAGTCCGCTGGGAAAATGATGCGATCAAGGGTCGCCTTGAAGACCATGAAGCGCATGTTGAAAGGAAAATCGATGCACTTGTTGCTGGAAATTAAGTTTATCGTTTCAATATCTAATATGGTTGAATTTCCGTATGTTTTATGACTTGTTAGACTTGTAAAAATAAGGTGCTCCATGGTGGTTATAGCCAGTTGAGATGTTGCCTTTTACTTCTTTACTGTTTCTAAGGATATATGTTGCAGCTTATAGCAGCCGATTGCTCTTGTTGCTTCTGTGAACTTGTCTGTGATTAGAGTCTTGCAGGATATCTATGTGCGAAGAAAAAGAAAATCTTCCAATTCTACAAGAAATAATAATAAATGGATTGGGTTACGAATCATGTTAGTTCATCAAATCCGATCCATATATTATTCATGTTAGCAAATATTGGCGTTTTTGTGAAATATTCTAAGTGGCAATTAAACATGCTAATTTTGTGTTAGGTTTGTATCGCATTAAAAATTTGTTTTTCACATACATATTGTTTCATTCTTGAAATGCATGTTGTCTATAATGTCTGACAACTATTTCGGTAGGACTCAATAAGGGCATGAATCAGTAGTAGCATCCCATTTTAAAGGAGTGAAACATTTGGGTTTTTCATTGTTCAAATGTGTTTTAACTCATAGTTTAATATTCTTTCTTCTTTTTCACTGTCAGTTTAACCTTTCTCCTTAATGTTTCGACCTTTAAATATAATTCCCATATACCTATTATGCATATCTATCTTGAAATATTGGAGGATATTAAAGTAGAGATTTTCTATTTAAACCCCACACTTCTCTTAGTTCACCCCATGTTCTAAGTTCACCCCAACTTTTAATTTAAATTTTCACAATTTCTAAGTAAACCCCACTATCTTCCCAAACTACCCTTAAATACACCCCAAGCATAAAAAATAAGAAATAAAAGAGATTTTCTATTTAAACCCCACAAGCTACCTTTAGAGGAGAAAATATGTTCTAAGCATGAGAAATAGTAAGTATTAAATTAATTTTTTGATGATATTTCAGAGTCTTATTCATTGTCTGTTCATAAACATACAATTTAACTCTTAAGTCCGCAAGCTTAGCCCATTCATGTTTACAGTACTGAAAAACTTCACGTGGCTTGTTTGACATTTGAATAATTGTCCATAAAAGGATTCCTTCAAGTTTCAACCTGATATAAATTGTTGTTGCTTTCTCTCCCTCTTCTTAGCAGGATAATAAAAACCCAACTTAACAATATTCCCATGAATCTCTTGGTTTCGTGCCTTTTGAACATGTATGTCAATTAATATAATATGAAGAAAAATTCAAGTTATCCCATACTTTCTAGAGAAAGAGAACAGTTTTACCAAAACATCAGGTATAAATTTTAAATCAAAAATCAAAACAATCAAGAAATCAACAGCAAAGAGTACCAAAAAAAAAAATCAACAAAGGGAAGAGAATAAGATCATTACAGCGAAACAATCAACAAGTCTTTCCATCAGCTTCCGCGCATATTTCAAAGAGGTAGGCTCGTCAATGTTCTACGTCTTTAAAAGAGAAAAGTAATATGGCATAGGATGTAGAAGAGTTTGTATTTTTTAAAAACTTAATTTGAAGATGTTTGTACCATATCTGACCCTCCACTCATACAACGACACGTGGATCATATAAACTCACCCAAGTACCCAAGGCCTCGAACAATCGGCATTGTCTCAAAACCACAAATATTCGCAAGTCTCAACACTGCCTGAAATCGGCACGCCCTGCCGATTCTACAGAATCAACTTCGAAGCACCCGCCCGAAATATCTAGAGACTCGTGTCAACCTCATAGGGCCCTCCCACGAGTCCCACATCGAAAATGAGTACTAAGAGCATCCAATATGCCCTTTATAAATAGGCCCCTTCACTACAATACAGGGGTAAGACTTTTCAGCTTGACTTGTATACTAATATCTTGTCAACAGCTAAAGCTCTTAGAAAACAAACTTACTTTGGCATCGGAGGGTCTTAGGCTGGTTCCACACCGGTTCCATAGACCTCACGAGCTTCGCTCATCTTCTATTCAGGATCAGCATCCGAGGACAGGAAGAATCAGCATCTATCACTCAATCGATCTACTAGATCGTCCATCTCACTTGTAAGTTGCACTCATCTCTATCTGTTCAGTTTTAGTGCCAACAGAAGAGTTGTGGGGTGTGTGGGGTGTGTGTACTATCCAGATACCTGCTCGACCGACCACTCTGGAGGTTCGAATGGAAACCCTACAGCAGGATATGGCAAGAATGCAGGAGCACAACAATATTCTTGCCTCTAAATTGGATGACACCCAAAGGCAACTACATGATCAACAGACACACTCCGCCCAACTACAGAACGGTATGGAACTAACCACACAGCTTCGGCAGGAGAGGTCGTTTAAAAGCGTGCGAAAGCCTAACGCTCAAGATAAAGGGAAACAGCAAGCTGCAGACAAACCAACTGCCTCCCGAAGACTGTTCGTACCCACTCCAAAGGAGCGCCATCCCGAATATCGAGTTTATTCCGATTGCCGCGATAGGATCAACGATCGGCGGAGGGAACGGCAGCCCTCACCCATCCAGGTCCGGGCGAAGCTCGACGATCCACGCCTGGAGGCACTTGGACCAAAATCCCCCATACGCCAAAGGTACAGTACGATCGGTC